TCTTCGAGACAAACATTATTTTCGTATTCGTACGAAAGCATCTCAATTACCTCAATTGGAAGTAAAAGACTCTTTACTTTTTTATGCATCTCGATAAATTAAGGACGAAATAATTGGATCTGATGCATCCATAGCTCTGTTGAACACATCAGAAAAGGAATGTAATCGGTTGTGATTTCTTGAATGGTGACGCCTGTCTGATTTATACAGCTTGTTCCAAGCAGCGACCAAATCGACTTTGGAGAAAGTGAGGTTATCTTAGAAAAATTCAAATTGCTCCAATAGTGGAGAAAAGTGCACAATAAGACTAACAGCCTTTGCTCAGCATTGACAACGCTACAACATACACTTGGACGCAAAACTTTCTATTCCTTCTATTTCAAAACTCTTCCCAAAGTTGAAACTTGTTTCCCAAAATTCAGCTTAAGGTGCATCTATAAAATGACAAAATGTTAGTATAGACACACACAATTTAAACAGTTAATACATTTAACATGTAGTACAAACCTGTGAAATCAGTGTCCATTACTATTTTTCTTTTTAAATGGAGTTTTAAACAAATAATCTAGTTTCACAAATCACTATGTGAAAATTGCAAACTTAGCGCACGTGCTTTCGGATGCAACAGCTGACTTTGCAGCTGTTATGCTAGCATATGGTGCTAATAATTAATATTTTGAGTATGAGGCATAATAGTTTGATGTTTTCTTAATACATTCCCATTAATTTTTTTAAATCAGAGAACTTTCAAAAAATGATTAAATGCCACATAAAGTGGTCAAAAACCCCATAGTGCAGTGGTCGCCAGAGCCCTATTTCAGGGGTGTAGGAAATACTTAGCTCTCTGTCCGAACTCTGAGGTACACACACAGAATAAACCAGTGGGGGGCAAAACGCACATATGTTTAAAATTTGAGTGTATGCGTAGCAGCAAAAACAATGAGAGCAGAGCAGTCACTGAGCAAAACAAGTAGTTTTTTATTTCATTTTTCGTTAATTCAAAAGATTTGAATGGGAACTATAATAGTGTATTTTATTTTAAAGAAAGCTTTGCAAGAAAAAGTTCTTAAACCAATGAAAAACTACGCTTCCCTATCTATTTTTTTATGAAAAAACTTGTGCCAGCCCAATTTTTGAGAAAATTTTTCTCAGTGGAAACATTTTTTTATGTTTGGGCTTTCAAATTAGGAAAAATGGGAGCAAATGAGAGAGCTTCTAAAAAAATTTAAGAGGGCTCACACTGTCAGTGTGACGGTAGCGCTGCGGCAGAATTTGTGACCCTATGCACGAGTCCTATGGAAAATGAGAATTTCCCCCCCCCCACTGCTTTATAATAATCAATCGTTTAAGGGGTTACGCCACCCTGACCGCGTGGAAACGGGACGGTTTTTCAGGAATTTCTTGTGACTAAACTAGTTGAGATAGGATTTTTCCACTTTTATTTCTATTCAATACAACTAATGAGCTTTATAAATTCTAAAAAAAAACTTGTTTTCTATGCAAAATGGCGGAGATATGAATATCGGCGATCATCGGTTTTTCCGGAGTGCTCCTTGATGGAGGGCATGATTCACGTGTCAATTTTCATCTCAATCAAGTAAACAAAATTTTTTTTTTAAAAAGTAATAAATTTGGAACAGAGTGACGTAGCCGTTTAAGAAAAAAAAAAATTACGCAAATGAGAGCACTTCAAATATTGACTCAATTTTTTGGGCAAAAAATTTCGTACTAAAAATTGCATAAAAAAAATTTCTATCCATTGGATCGAAAAAATCCTACGTCACTCTCTGGAAAATCTATGTAAGAAGTTTCAATTTTCAAGTCAATCTGTTGAACAGTTTTTGAGTTATCATGCCCACCGTCTTGAAAAAAGTGGTTTCGAGAAAAACGCAAAAGAAGAACAGAAGTGTCTTAGGTGCCCCTTCTGCCGTGCCGATTTCAAATAAACACAACTTCCATAATTATCAAGATATTGTCTTCGGGGACGTCTTAAAATACGCGTAAGAATATAGTGTTTTAATTTAAGTAAAAAAAAATGGAAATTTTTTGAAAATTTCAGGGTGGCGTAACCCCTTAAACATTTTTAGAAAATATATTTAGGCTGTAGTATGTTTTGCAAATTTTCACTACCATTATTTTGACCGATTGATTTTTTGTCAAATTCATTATTTTTATTTTTGTTTGAAAAGTTTCTTGTGTTATCCCAAACGTTAAGGTATTAAAAACAGCTATTATTAAGGTTACATCAAAATTTTAAATAATTTTCCTAAGTCACTAATGGGCACTACTATAATTTGAACCGCTGCTGTACACTTCCCCTTTCTTGTTTTTTTTTCGAATATTTCACTGTGGTGTTGACCTTTAAACTGAGTTTATGTAAATGGCTGCTGTTTTTTTTTTCTATCCAAAAATTTAATTTACGTGTTTACATTTTGGTACCATAACATTTACTTTTTGAAAGGGTATCTACTTGTGATCGAAACTGTATGTGCAGGTTGATCCGTAACAAGAAAGGAACGCTAACTTCGGGCGGAGCCGAAGTTGATATACCCTTGCAGTTAAAACCGGATATATATCGCAAACATCGGATATAGTTGGCCGATCCTTATGATTACACCATAATAAAACCAATTAATTAAAATAAATAATCTTAAAAAAAATCCCATTCGATGTATCGAATGTCCTTAAGGGGGGACATCTGAGTAACAGGCAAAAAAAAAACGGATTTTCTGGATTTTTTTTTGGCCAAATCAAAACAGCTAATCGAAAATTTGTAAATGAGTTTTCATTATATTATATTTAAGGTACACAATACAATTTTTTTTTAATAAATCGAAAACAAAATGGCCCTGCAGCCCTTATTCGTAGGCCCTATTTTTTTAAAGGGGGTCCATGGCCGAACACCTAACGTCCTTAATTTTTGATCTAGAACAAAAAATCAAGATTGGTTAGTTTCTGTATCTCAACGGCTATCGACACACGTAGGATTTTTTCGATATATTGATTTTTTGCAAAATAGTGTGTGATTGAACAAAATTTTCAATTTTCACTAACAAAAAACGTCAACAAAATTGTTGATAAAAAAAAAAGTAAGCAAAATAAAAAAAAATCCTACGTGTGTCGATAGACATAGATATTCTGAGTATACTGTCAAAATTTTAGATCGATAGGTTAAGAGTTGTTAGAGTTATGTGTTCGGCCAACTCAAAAAAAGTGGTTTCGAGAAAAACGCGTTTAAAGTTTTAAGTACTGTGGGATATACCTGTGAGGCATCGCCGCAGAATTAAAAATTTCGACACTTAGGCACTTTTGCCGGACTCTATCTTTTGATATGTCATTTTTTTGAGAACCTAAAGAATTGTTTAAGCGAAAAAAAAAATTTCGATTTTTTCAAAATTCTACTCAGATGTCCCCCCTTAAAGGACATATTACAGGATTCCTCAATGATTCAATTTATTTGTTGTTTTTTGCTACAAATATGATGTTGCGGTGATGATTGGCAAACAACATGCAGCAGCAAAAGGTACCGTGCCAAACCTCATAAAGTATTCATATTTTTTATCTCTCCTACTACAGTGATCTCTCAAACCTGACAAAATGATAATTCATTAACAAGTAATTATAAGATCTGTTAAAGTTTTTAAAAACATTTTTAGGACCTGTTTACTGTTGTCATTGCAGATGCCATTGTTTAAAACATTTTTCTTCACATAATTCACATAATCGAGTCTTCCTTTTGTAATGAACACGGTTATTTATTGAATTATTAAGGAATCCTGAAATATGTCCTTTAAGTACATTCATTACATGATTTGAAAGGTACTGCGCCACAGATCATAAATATGTTAACCGTTTTTAATAGTCCACTCGGTTCAGAAGTTATTCGTCTTCCATTTTCCTTCAATCACAATTTTTATTTTTATTTTTTTCATAAAAAATTGAAAAATAATTCTTACTCTTAATTATTATTATAAAAATTGAAAATAAGAGTTATATTTCAATTTTAACAATAGAAATCGAAATAAAAGTTTATTGAGTTTTCGGATTAACTGTTAAAAAATGGCGTATGTGCCTTTTTCCCACTCCCCGCAAAAGCCTTTTTGTTGTTCAATTTTTTTGAACCCAAGTCTTATTTGCAGTCCCTGACTAAAATTAAGAATATGAATATACTTTATAGGGTCGGAGATGTCTCCTTTACAGCGTTGCCCAGTTTTCACCAAAATTATAATACCCTCTATTATTAAAATATATTTTATTAGTGCAACTAGAACGTAAATAAGGAAATACCGGCGCATGCGAATTTGAACGATGTTTTATAGAAGAAATGATGATTATGTAACCAATTTCGCTTTTGCCTGGGTACGCACATTATTTAAGCAACCTGCTTTTATGCCAAATACCTTGACTTGTATTTTTATTTTATCTTTATACGATATTTAAAATAAACTTGGCTGTAACTGTTGCGTATTTAAAAATGCAGGCATGTATAGATATGACATGTATAGATGTCAAAGCAGATTTCAGCATTTTTGCTCTAATTATTATTTTCGAGAATTAAAGAATTTAAATTTAATATTAAGAAAAAATTTAAATAAAAAAATATATTGATTTTTATTGGGCGTAAGAATATGTTAATTATTTTAAAAAACAGAGGGAGGTAATGTGAGAGAGAATGAGAGAACGCGCAGGCTGGTACATACAAATGAGAGTAAGGCCACTAGTAAATGGCTTTCCATTAAAAAAGTTGTAAGGCTTTACTTTAATAATTTTTTATTGTTTACTGCAAAGAAATATGTTCACTAACTAAAAAATGTTCATACGGATATTATAAATAAAATTGTACGTAATTTTATCGTTTAAATAGATTTGATACTTGGCATACATACACATACACAATAAGTGGAATCAAATTAAATTATACACCTTACAACAATCGTTTTAAAAAAAAAAATATTTTGCCATATTTTTTCCGTTATAAGAGAATTATGGCGTTTACTCACTTTCCAACAAAGTTTTCCAGAACTGAACTTTTCCCCGCCGATTGACCTCCAACAACGGCAATCTGTGGCAAATCCAATTGCATATGGACGCCAAGCGACGTAAATGCATCTTGCAACTTGTTAACAATGTTTATTAAGTTATCCATGATGATAAATATGTATTCTTTGAAAACCGAAATTGATTTGAGAGCCTCGCGTCGCTAGAAATGTCCAATTAGCTCCTGTGGCACTGCGCAACGGAAATGTCGGCGCCTACCCTTTTGGTATATAGAGGATTCTAGACTGGATTTTGATGTATTTTTTTTCCAAAAGCTTTTTCTGTATAATTGACAATTATATACTAGTTAGTTTATGCAGTCAGTTTATATAATGCTTCAAATCAGAGCTTATATATAAGCTACTTATTTTTAAATGTGAACCACACATTAACGTTATCTTTTTGTGCTGAGTTTTATAAAGAAACTCAAAGAGTTTACTCGAGCGGGAATATATAAAGATAAAACTCTAGGTGACAAAAGCAACCGCACATATGTAAGTATACTGAGGAACAGACCACAAAAAAAAAATTAATACTGCATGTTTAGAAACGATTCTTCAAATCGAAATCATTGATTTTCTTCACAAAAATTAAAGAACAGGGAGTAGATACGACTGGAATATGTAATTCAGTCTTTGTATGCAAACTGACTGCCTACCAATAGTTTTCTTTTGACTAAACATGGGGAAGGTACACACGCTGTGATAAGACGGCATAAAATAATCGAAATATAAAATTAATCGAAACTAAAAGCGCCACCTATTTTAAAATCGAATAGGGTTGCATTTGAGTCAGCTGTTGAGCTGTCAATTTGACAACAGGAAGTGACAATATATTGACAGACGAAGTGTAGGTTCTTTTCTTTCAACTGCTCGTTCAAGAAAGTTGTTCCTTTTGTGTATTTCGCGTTTCGTGTCGAAAACTGAAGACTTAAAGTAAGTGAAATATGAATTAAGTTCAACATTTTTCATTTGTTTGTATAATGTAAAGTGCGTTTCTTAGTTTACTTCCTTTTGATTTTAATGGATTAAAAAGAAACATTTTAATGGCTTAAGTAAAATACAATTTTCATGTAAAACAAATGGTTCGGTATTTGATGTTAAACCACTAAACCATAAGGTTTATGTGTATATATTTGTTTAATATAATCTAGATTTTATATATGTATTTATTTTTTTTATATATTTAAACCACTTTTATATACGTACATATGTATGTATGTCGGATAAACTTTAAAAATTCTTAGCTGTTTTAAAATACTTAAAAGAAACAATTTTTTTCCATAGCATGCGTTACGTGGCTGCATATTTGTTGGCGGTTCTTGGAGGAAAGGATAGTCCTGCTAATGCTGACCTCGAAAAAATCCTCAGTTCTGTTGGTGTTGAAGTCGATTCAGATCGTTTGACGAAAGTCATTAAAGAACTAAGCGGAAAAAGTATTGAAGATTTGGTAAAGGAAGGTCGTGAAAAGCTTTCTACCATGCCCGTTGGTAGTGGTGGAGTTGCCACACCGGCTCCTGGTGCTCCAGCTCCTGCAGGTTCTTCCGACAAAAAGGAATCAAAGAAAGAGGAAAAGAAGGAGGAATCGGAATCTGAGGACGACGACATGGGTTTCGCTCTCTTCGAATAAGCAAAACGTTAAAATTGTGTACATTTTGCAAAACAGTTCTGCTTCGTTGAAAATATTCCATGTTTTTTATTAAAGGTGTGTATAATTAACTTTCGATATCAGATAGCGAAAAATTATGTGATGAACTAACTTAACCATCTTTCGACTGAAAAAAGTGATGCTTAAAAGTTTGTACTGAGTTTGAGCAACTTTTTACTTACATTTTTATTTTTTAAACCTCAAAATATATGAATTTTCTTGTTTTCATTTCAGAGCACACTCAAAAGCAAAAACGCTCCAAATAAAATTGTATCACTAGATATAATATATCCTTGGAATATAAATGTGCAGAGGTTTACTTGATGTACAAGATAATTTAACAATAAAACAAAGCTATCCTATTGATATTTTTATAAACTGGCATGGGATATATATGTTCTGATTTTTAAAACTCACTGTTTGATTTGTTAATTTTATGCATTCATGTACACATGTACTTACATATATCAGCGTTGCCCAAAACTCATTCACATGTGTTTGGAAATTTCTCTGCCTTCACACAACTGTGAAAACGACTATGGTTGTGTGAAGAATTATACTTATTTGAAACAAAATAAGAGTCAAACATGTGAAAGTATTTGTGTGAGCACTTGCAGTGGTTATATAATTATATATGTACTTGCAGTGGTTGTATAATTTGTCAAAAGTGTGTAATGAAGTGACTGGGATATCTCCGAATCTATAAAGCGGTGGTTTATAGAGCCCTATTGCACGAGGGCATCAGTTCGACAACTTCGTAGCCGCCTAAGGAAGGAAAATTATAAAATACACATTCACATATCAAAATACATCTTTTAAATTATTTTTCATGACAATTTTTTTTTTCAAGCTCAGTTTTTTATAAATGGCTTAAACATTTTTTAAGCTTACCAAATGTTTGTTTAAAAAAATTGTTTTTTAATAATTGTTTTTGTTTAGTACATATTTTAAAATATGTTTCCTTTTAAGGGGACCCCCCCCATTCTCGATTTTAAATTTTGACGATTTTCAATGGGCTGGCAAATGAACATAAATTATTTTTTAGGGTTGTAACTGTGCTTACATATATTAAGACACAAAAAGGAAGAAAATCATTTCACAGAATTTTTTTTTGTTTTGTTTTTGTTGTTGTTTTTTGTGATCAAAGAAAAGCCCTTCTTTTCGGCGGCGCATGTGATTTCCGCTCACTGGAACATCTGAATCCAAAAATTCAAACGGGATTAGAAAAAGTACATGTTTGGCTCTCGTATGAACTAGGATTATTAACTTCGCTCAAAAATTAACAAAATGGTGGACCTTTGAAATTTTTTTTTGGAAATTTCCATTTTTTTCATCCACAAATCGAGTTGAAAAGTAAGGAAGATCTTCACCGATTAGATTTATCCTAGTTCATACGAGAGCTATATATGTATAGAATAACGTGTTAAAATTTGGAACCGATTGGATTAATAGTTTTTGAGTAACCTCATGCGCCAGTCGTAAAAACACTGTTTCGAGAAAAACGCGTTTAAAGTTTTGAGATGGCTCTCGCCGTCGCCTGAGGCTTCCACCATAAATCGGCTATATCTTTAAGAGTTTTTGAAATTTTTACTTGAAATTTTCAGGGAACATTCTTGAATAGTTACAAGTTCGAATTAAATTAAAAAAAAAAAATCGATTTTTTAAAACCGAGAATGGGGGGGGTCCCCTTAATAACCCAATTAAGGGGTTATATACAGTTGTGATAGATAAAAAAAACGCATAGATGAAAAATAAGTATATACTGTTGGGAATACTGTCACAAAAATTCATGACGATCGGAGCATTAGAACCGAAGATGTAGCTATTTATAGCGCACTACCTGCACATAAAACTTGAACAAACTTAAAACTTTAACGCGATTATCTCAGAATCTTGTTTTTTCGAAATTACCTTTGCGGTGGACACGATTACTAAAAAACTACTTATCCGATCAACACCAAATTTATTTATCTTATTTATTATTACCACTTATTTATTATGATATTAGCTAGTCCGTGAACGAGGGATTTTCAATTTTTTTTAAAACTCCTTTTAAAAATTAAAAATCTTATACCTTGAAACATTTTACAAGGTACAACATTTACATTTACAACAGTACATTTTTTGTTAAAACCGTCGTCTTTTTTTTTAAATCAAAATTTTTAAAAATCCCTCGTTCACGGACTAGACAATACAATATACTAACTAAACTTTTTTGAATTTTGGATTTCGGATGAACCGTTTTCGAGAAATCATGTCCACCGCAAGACACCATCGAAAAAAGATGATCCGGGACATCGGCTATAACATTTGTTTTATGTAATATTTTTTTATGAAAAAATTTAATTAAGTACCCAGAATATTTTCTATGGTGTCAAAAAAAAATCGATAAAATTCCATTTTATTGCGCGGTATAACTGTATATAACCCCTTAAAAGAAGCAGAACTAAATAATATTGTTCCACTCTTGAGTTATTAATTTAGTGCGAAAAGAAGTGGCCGTTCTATCCAATGTGTTGGAGCCATGTTTTCTAGTCGTTTTGGCCATAGGACGATTTGTATTGCAGACAAAGCTTAACATTGTGTACGTAGATAAGTAACAGCGAAACCGTTAAAGCTGGGCTAGGCATTACCAAAAGGGTAGGGTAACGGGAATGTAAAGTTAATTGGGTGCAAAAGCTACCACAATAAGACTTTAAACACTTTCATGCCCAAATTAAACTGGGAACACAGAAAATATTTAACGCCATAAATGATTAATAGGAGCCCCAAGTAACGTTCATTTCGACTTTTGATACTCTAAGTCCGTTGGTATGTCCTTACTGAAATGTTGCCTATAGGCAAAATTCACTTTTTTTTGTTGAACACAATTATTATCGTACCAGCGAAACGAGATCAAGCTATAGGTTGCTTCGACCTTTATGTCAAAAGATCCACTGCCTTTTTATTGACATTTTTTAGACGGTTATTGCGGATAGTGCCAATAGCTAAGATACCCCTATCCTTTAATGCTATCATCAGCTTACTGAAGTAAACCAGTTATCAATATAGTTTACAGTTTAATATAGTTTAAAGTTTTGATTGTCAGGAATGTTTGGTTCCGTCTCCAAAGTAAAGGAAAAATCATATGTAATACTACACCCCAGCTCTAGAAAACATTTTTGCTGTGTAATTATTCCCTAAGGGAAAAAATAAAAATCATAAATAATTATTCGCTCAAAAATATAACTCAATTCATGATTTCGCGATATTTATAATTTTTTTTGGATATTTGACATAAGTAAAGAATACTCGATCAAATCCAGTGTACATATGTCTTTTCATTTCTTAAAAAAATCTAAATTATTGCTCGACTCATGACCGAACACAGGAAAAGGTTTAATTTAATTAAACCTATAATTTAAATATGCTATACATGTGCCACTCCCATTACAAATTAGGTTTAACTGAATTCAATCTCCTCATCCCAGCTTAGCATCCATTGCTGGATATGTGAAAAAGTCGTACACGCCAAGTGTGCCGGATTCAATTTCTCTGTTTCCGATGCCATTTCCCGTAGGTCTGGTCTCCATTGTTCGTTTTTATTATTTTTTTTTTGCGGTCTTTTAGAATTTTGGAAATGGGTTGTGCGTCAATAAGAGCTTTAGCTAGCATTCCTGTGTTCATCATAAAGCTTAGAGGACCAGACGACCGAGGGGCGCTCGAGTAACGATTTATTAGTATATGTTAAGCTACTTGTAATATATTAAGCTAAGAGGAGTTAGTAAAGAAATTAAAACTGCTATATTTTAAATTTGAAGGACAGGAAAGTGATTTTATAGAGTAGAGACCATTGTAGTTCGAACCTCAGACCCTAAAAGGGTCGTGATGTGCATATGTCGAACTCAAATGGCTAAGGAATAGAGGATTCATGTTTCTAGTCCTTCTATTGAGAATGTTATAATTTAAGCGTGTTAGTAAATGCTGGCTATCTACATCCCCATTAATTAGGTTATTTAGAAAAACTACACTGAGCATTATCCTACGATTTATTAAGCTTGGTAAGTTTATTAGTAAGATTCTACTATTATAAGTTGGAAGGTGAAGATTTGCATTCCAAATAAGACAGTGAGAAAGTTAAGAAATTCTTATATACGGACTCTAGGCGTCCTGATGTACTCCATATTGGGGACTCCAGACACATGAACCATGAAATGACCATGACTTTTGACCACCTTTTAATGAAACCAAGGACTCCTTTAGCCTTATAAATCATTGGGGAAATATGGGAATAGGACGCCAAGATCATTAACCTGAGTTAATTTCTCTAAGGCAATCCCATAGAGAGTATACGTAGCCTGCAGAGGGAAAGAACGATAAAAAAAATAAGCTTGCATTTTTTTTTAAGCTAAAATATAGTTAAGAATGAAAAATAAATAAGAATCGTTACACATGCTGCCTGGGTGGAGAATCGGGAAGGATCCTACTTGACCAACTTGGCCATCATGTGGGTCAGCTTTTCCTCGTCGGAGCTCGAGAATCGGCCCACTTTGCGATTATTTTTGAGGGTGACGAACGTGGGCATGCTCTGGACGCGGTACTTCTCCGAGAGCTCCTCGAACTTGTCCACATTGACCTTGACGTCCTTGAGAACCACCGCCTTGGTGGAGTACTTCCGCGCCAGGGTCTTGACGGTGCTGTCGATGGCCTTGCAGGGACCGCACTAGTCGGCGTAGAAGTCCAAGACCAACATGCGCTTGTAGTAATCGGTTTTCAATCTTTTCTTGTTTTTTTGGAAAAGAACTATCGACTTTAAGCGTCGAAATCACGTGGAAAAGACTTCAACTTTCCAAAATGGCGGTTGTTAAAGAAAATAGTATTACTTTTTCTATTTTACGATCTCGAGACACACCGTACAGAGTTGGAGCTGCTTCTGCCATTAGGTATTAAATCATTTGATAAACACAATTTTTGAAAGTTTTCAAAATCAGGTTGAAGACTGCATTGGGCAGAGAGTTCGTTAAAGCAGGGGGCAAGTCATTAATAAAAAGAGTAAACAGTAGCGTGCAAAGATGACTCCCGAGGGCCCCAGATGTAGCACGTACCAAGAGGAAATGTATATTTTTAAATAACACTCTTTGTGTTCTTCCATCTCAGTAGCTGGATATCCACGTAAGGAGGTCTATAAGGAATCCCAGCATGTTCAGGTTACTGAACAAGAGTGACTAAAGTCTTTACTAAAGTCTGTGTAGATAAAATCCCTTTGAAATCCCTTTCGAATGCCATGACAAAGGATATCAACTCCAGTAAATGAGTGGTGGTGGAGCGACGTTTAATGAAGCCATTCTGATATGGAGAGATGATCGAAGAGCAAAGGTGTTGC